ATATTCGTCCATAGCATTATAAAAGTTAAACGGTTTGATAAATATTTTTGTTGTCAACAACAAAAAAAAAGAAAAAAAACAAAATTTTCGATTACTTTTTCAATCCCCACTTTCTATTTACAAAATGATGATATCATTTGATGTATGGTAATGCAATAGCACGTTCAGTTTGTTTATTACAACTCGTATGTAAACGTGAGTATATCCTAAGCAATATGTATTACTATATCAATATATAAACGTGCGTATACATAAATACATACATACACATACAAGTTAATGATAAATTGAACGTGTGTAATACGTGGATCGTTTAAACACAGAGGAGACATGTCAAATGCACGACAATGTTAACATAAGTATACAGCACATCGATTACTATAGAACATTTTTCAAAGTATTATTACAAAAGTATAGTAGAACATAAGATATGTGTATGTGTGTGTGTGTGTGTATATGTTGCAGGTGATCAAGAAAAGTAGGCCGAATAACGTATATCATACTTTTCCTTTATCTTTTTCTTTTTCTTTTCTCTTTTTATATTTCATATAATTAACTAGACTTTCTAGATAATTACTAGAATATAAAAAAAAAAAAAAAAAGAAAAAGAAATGTTTATTAAATTGTAAGTGTCCCCATTAGTGTCCCCATTAGTGTCCCATAATTTGATTCAACCATTTAACACATGTAACCATGTTAAATGTATATATCTATTTTACAAGTTGATATACAAATCTCTTATTATGGGGTATGAATGATGAGGGTGAGGGATGAATGAGAGGGATAAAATACAATAATATTTAACGATCGATTTGATAACAGTGTAGAATCTCGTATTGGTTTTGACTTCATAAATCAAAGGGTAGTTTGATGTGGTAGATGAGTTAATGTTGAAAGGGGTTGTTTATGTATATATGTGTATGTGTGAGAATATTATATAGTGTAAGTGATGTGAATGATTTTGATCGATATTAAGGAACATGATTTTGACAATTGACTGACTTGCAAATGATACTTTTGATTTTAAGATATATATATATATATATATACCTGTATATATATATATAGAGAGAGAGAAATTCCATTAGTGTTATACTCACCTGATCGTATAATCATTATGATGAAACGCCATCGTCGATGCAACGCGCATGATCATATTCCATGGGTATATATATATATATATGTATTACGTAGGTATAAAGAATTTTAGGGAAAATGAAAAAAGCTCTCGTTCATAATAGTGTGTACTATAGACAGGTATATAGTATATATTATATTGTCCTACATATTTTATGTTATAGCATTTATTTTCCGAAAAGAAATATAATTATTATTTAATAATAGTAATAATTTTATATTAGATTAATAATTATAATTAATATATACTATTTGAATAATTATTATTAATATATATTATAAATACTAAATTAACTACGATTACCATATTTTGTATGAATAATTAATTTATCATTTTTAAGTTTATTATTTTGTATATATATATATATATATATATATATATATATATATATATATATATATATATANTATATATATATATATGTTATTAGTAAAGTAAGTCATTTGATATAAACCTAATTGAGATGCATTAAAATGAAAAAGTTAAAATGAAAGAAAGAAAGGAATGAAAGGAAGAAATTCGATGACACAAAAAGAAGAAGAAGAAAAGAAAAAAGTATTATTTCTAATTACAAAGAAAGCATGGTGCATCGACATCGCGTTTTCGCCCTTCTTCTCCCAAGATACCTCGTACAAAGATACATACATATATAAAACATACACACACACATACCACTTACTAACATGTTTTTCTACAAACACATATTCTTCTTATACATATATATATATATATGAATATAATACATCGTGCGTGTAACATTTATGTACTCCTCCTATACGAATATTTGTTTATGCGTATGTATACGTCTCTGTGTATGCATGTATATGTGTATACTCACGTAGGTTGCTGCTGCTTGTTTGTCATACATGCCAGTATAATCTATCCATTGTATTCCACACTCTTCTCTTACTATGCGAACTACGCATAACACACCAATACAAACTCAACTGTGAAAGGAGAGAAGCATGCCAAATGAAATAGAGACGACACATATACATATACATATATATATATATATATATATATATATATATATACGTACATAGTTCTCTCTCTTTCTCTCTCTCTCTTTCTCAAGAGAGAGAGAGAAAGCAAAAGAAAGAGAGACAGAATCATCAACGAAGAAGAAGAAAAAAAAATAAAAAGCGTTTGTAAGAGCTGTACGCTGAATCTTTGAAGAGGATGAGGAGGAGGAGGAGGAGGAGGAGGAGGAGGAGGAGGAGGAGGAGGAGGAGGAGGAGGATCTTTTCGTGGCCCGATTCTATCTTTTTTCGTCGTACTCACTTTTGAGAATCGAAATAATAAAATACGCAAATACGTGTGTATGTATGTGTGTGTTCTTTATGAATTCTTATTTTTTATTTTCAAATTATCATCATCATCATCATCATCATCATCATCATCATCATCATCATCATCATCATCATCATCATCATCATCATCATCATCATCATCATCATCATCNTCATCATCATCATCATCATCATCATCATCATCATCATCATCATCATCATCATCATCATCATCATCATCATCATCATCATCATCATTACAATATTACATACACACAAATATACATTGAAATCTATGTATAGAAAGAAAGAAAGAGAAAGAGGAAGGAACATGTATTTAAGCATACAAAAGTGAAATACCAATACTCGTATTTGCGATCCATAAATTGATAATAATAAATAATAATAAATAATAATAATAATAATAATAATAATAATAATAATAATGATACATAAAAATCGTTGATAAAACCAATGATGTGACTAGTGGGACATATGAATTTCTTTAATTGGAATTCGGCCTTGGCAGGAATAATTTGACAAAAAAATTACCCGGAAATAGTCCGAGACTTTTTTTTGAATGTTCAATTCGCCCCCTTTCCCCCTAATAAAAATGAGATGCGTCAAAGTATTTTACAAAAAAAAAAAAAATTAAATAAGAATGAAAATGATAGAGATGGAATTGGTAGATAAAATTACAAGAAGAAGAAGAAGAAAAAGAAGAAGAAGAAGAGAGCTTAACACGTTAAACGCCATGCGAATTCTTAGAGAAATCCCCGTCAGGCCACAGGTGTTACTTTGTATTGAAAATAGTTGAAAGTGTCAGTCATTTATGACTGACGTGGCCTAAATGTAAAATCTCATGTCAGTCATATATGACTGACGTGGCCTAAATGTAAAATCTAATGTCAGTCATATATGACTGACGTGGCGTTCAACGTGTTAAAGACGCATATATACTACATATATACATATATATAGATGAACCGCGAAATATGAAAAAAAAGAAAACACGAAAGTAGGGAAAATGGCTACTCTGAAACATTGAAGACTGCAATAATAATTAATTACTCTGGCCTATTTAAAATACGATATATACGAATTCGTTGCTCGATTAAAAAAAAAAAGAGCAACGTTATTATAGACGATGAATTCACAGTGAATCCCGTTAATCATAAATAAGAAGTGTGCCTGTTTCAATTGAATGAATGAAAAAGAATAAAAAGAAAATAATGTCTCTTTTTGATCGTACGTTCGATCGTAGTTCACAATCAGTGACGAATAAGACGCCATTGTATAAGAAAACAAACATGGCGTTCTATCACGAATTTCAAATAGCCCGCGTAAGTGTGCGCGCGCATTAACGGCGTACGAGTATCTTTAGAGATTAATAATGTCTTGTTAGGAAAAAGAAAACAAAAAGAAGGAAATTAACAAATAAAAAAAAGGAAATACTATTTATCCGTATTGTATTCTGGTTATCTCTAATTACGATCAGTAAAAATTATTCTAAAGAAGATGAATTTGTATTTTTTACTTATCTTCTTCATCACTCGCCATTTTCAATCCTGGAATCCTTGAAGATTTAATTTATTTGTTTTTTTTTTTTATTGAAAATAAAATATTCTACGTTTATATCCAATTTTATTTTTTCTTAATAAGGATCGCATTTAATATTTTTAACCATTTTTATATATATATATATTTGGGACTATTTTTCTAAATATTTTAATGGAATTCTCTTTGATTAATAATTGTTAATATATAAATAATAATCAACGTATTTATATAAAATGATTTTATTGGTTCGTGACACTAAAAAAAAAAAAAAAGAAAAAAAAGATTAAGTGGCAACGTAGAATTATTATTATTCATATAAATAATACTAAACATATGAAAATTAGATATAATAATAATCCTTAGAAACTTTTAGTATCATCCAGTTATTAATCGATTTTTCTATTTTACGAACATTGGATTTGAATATAATTAATATCAATGTTATACAGTATTGAATAAATTCATTCAGTTGTTTCTTTTCTTTTTTTAAATAATTAATATTTGATATTTAAAATACTTAATCTCCATTATTCGTAATTCGTTAAACAAGATGTTTTGTTTTTTTTTTTTTTACATGATTTTTATAAATGATTTATTAAAAACGCTAAATTAATGTGTTTGTTGTTGTTGTTGTTAAAAACAATCTTACATTTAAAATATCCTACAAGTTTTGCCAGCTTTCATGGTACATTCTCTATTAAGAGAGCTTTCTTCTCGATCCTTGATTGATAGTATGTGGAACTTTGTTTCGTTTATGCGATTGTAAAAAAAGTCAACGTCAATAATCGCAAGTCACCCTGAAGAAAAATTTCACGCACATACTTATATATCCTGGAGGATTCGATTATCGTCTCTACCTTACGTATTATCTACGTTATATATATATATATATATATATGTATATACATATACATGTATATATATTCTCCTTGATATAATATCATCTAATAAGGTTGTAATATAAATGACAAAATCTACCTACAAATAAGACACATTTACGCACCATTGTATAAGATAAATAAGTTTATGTAATTTATATGTACAAAAGTATGGTTATCCACATCTGCGTGTTGCGATCGACATTTTATACAGTTACAAAAGTATAATACCCCCTAATTATTAAGGAGAAATGCAAACATGCAAATAGTTTGTAATTGCCGTATCGATTTTTTTTTTCAATACAAAATTTCACTTGACTTTCCAAGTTCTCTTTTTTTTTTGTTTGTTTTTTTTTTTTTTAAATATCATTTTAGGATAAACAATGCCTTTATATTAACGTTAGGCATATATTCATTCTTTGATATTCAACACGTTATTTGTTAAGCCTTGTTTTGTCTTATTCAGTGTGTGGTTATTGCTTCAATAAAATAATCTGCATGCACCGTACGATAAAACTCACAATCTTCGACAATATTGAGCCAATCGTTCGATATGGAGGCAATCACGTCCTACAAGACAACGCATCGTCTTCTTCTAACTGGTTCTGGTGGTTCTAAGGCTGCTAAGATTGCTTCGTCAAAAACATTCTTTAGACCTTTCTAAAATATAAGATAAACATTGATTTAATTACTTCATCGATATTAAAAATGATGAAATTCATTTGTATCGTCATTGTAACAACAGATACCTGCGTAAGAGCACTACATTCTACATATTTAACTGCTTTCAATTCTTTCGCAAGTTTCTCTCCTTGTTCACCTGTTATTGGCTTTTGTTTATTTTTTGCTAATTTTTCAATGGTCGCTGCGTCATCTCTTAAATCGATTTGTGTGCCAACAAGTAAAAAAGGTGTTTTTTGACAATGATGAGTTATTTCTGGTACCCACTAAAACAACAACAACAATATTTAATATGAATTCATTCACATTCACATATCTTATAAAGATAAATATATAAAAGTGATTAATATATTATACATTAACCTTTTCTTTAACATTTTCAAAAGATGATGGGGATACAACAGAAAAACATACTAGGAATACATCTGTTTGTGGATAACTGAGTGGTCGTAGTCGATCATAATCCTCCTGACCTTAAACAAACATAAATAATATAATAAATATATTGGTGAATAGGTTATTAAATACTTTAATATATATATAAATATAAGATGAAGTATATACATATATATATATATATTACTTATAGTTACCAGCAGTATCAAATAATCCTAAAGTGTATGGTTCACCACCAATCATGACTGTAACTGCATAATTATCGAACACCGTAGGCACATATTCCGATGGAAATTTATTCGTAGTGTAGGAAATCAATAAGCAAGTTTTACCAACAGCTCCGTCTCCTACCACAACGCATTTTATAGTCTGCATCTTTGTCACTGTTTGTTTTGTTTGGTTTTGTTTTGTTTGTTATATTTGACCTAATTCAAGGATACAAATAAATGTTTGTAATCAATTCATTATGACAAATGTTTTATGAATGTTTTTTTATGACTTACTACTTAAATGAGACACAGTAGCATACACACTTTCTGTTTAATTATTTAAAACTTTGAACACAAGAGACTATTATTCATATGATATCAATATAAAAACATGTCAATGTTCTCTCTTTCTCATTTAAACAACACCGTATGAAAATAATCTGCAACTTTTCATTAACTGTTAGATGACACTCCACTTTTCTTTTTTTTTGTTTTCAAACTTATACGTTAAAGTATTCTTTATTATTCATTAGATATTACTATTGTTAATAGAAAATGTTTGAAACTTGATTAAACACTATTGAAAATTAGTTTTTTCAACTGTAATAGGAATATGTTTTAAGAGGCAAATATTTGAGAGATATAATATCCCCTCTGCAAATGCAACTGTAAATATGTATTTATATATTCAATATATAGATAAGAATTTGAATAGAATAAATGATAAATAAAAACAGTACACGTTAACAATTTCATCCACTTTTGTTTGAAGAACTTTTCTGCATATATAAGTTGCTCATTAATGGAACATTGTTTTTGGAGACGCCATATTGGTTATTATGTCAAATATACCGATTGATATTTAAGTCGGCTTTAATTTCTATAGAAATATTTCTTAATATTATTTTAACATTAGATTCTTATTAAATGTTTAATAACAAATCACCTTATACTAACAACAACAATTAAATATATGAATAACGGATATTAAAAACTTACGGATAACTGGGCGTCGACAACGCTATACTGTCACAAATATTTAAACCATTCAAGAAGGGGTACACGTGTCAAACGAAGTATTAACGAAGACTGCCATCTACGATTTTACTTCGTCCATTGAAAAAAAAAAACAAAAAAAAAATCGAATTTTTATTTGAAAAATGTAAAAAAAAATCAAATTATAAACTATAATTATACAATTCAATATTTCATTGTTTCTTCATATGCATTATTTGATGATCATTTTAATTTTCAATATGGCGAATTAAAATTACATTTTGCATAACATATATATAAAAATATATATTTTAAATAAGATAATTTATAATTTAATAGGTTAAATTATTTATTAATAATAATCAAAATAATTATATTCATTTAATAATTATTTCAATTTGATTTAAATTATGTGTAAAATATAGAAGAAGAAATCTCATTGGTCGATACATTACTGCATTAGTCTTGAATGTTTTATGGTTATGTTTTATTTATACAAATATTTTTATATACATAATACATACGTATTAACGTTATATATATTCATAATTATTGTAAAAATGAAATATATATATAAAAAAATGAATGCATAAAAGGGAATAATTTCATAAATTAATTGTTATTGTGATTCCAGAAGTACGGATAAAGAGTTTCCATGATTTTTAACATGGTGGTTACGCTTCTAGTTTAAACATTAACCAATGACGAATGGTAAAGAGACAGACATGAGATAGTTAGGGAAAATGGCTGACGATGCAGTGGTCCGTGTTTTGACTATTTTACGTATATTTTCGTATTGAACGTTCGACATGGAATTAATTGATATTCCAAACAAACGATTTTCATTATTTCATAGTGAATAAAGTGTTGTGAATTATAAGTGTGTTGTTATAGTGTACGAATTAAAGTAATTATTACTTGATGATCTGTCAGAACTTGTCTGAACCTGTCTAAACGTGATTCTATTCTAGCTGCCATCGTGTAATTTCATTATAAATACCTTTAAATATTATTTTTTTATATTAATATTCATAAACACGATGAATTTATCGAGGTAAATATAATGTAAAACAATTTTTATATTACTAAATAGTATTTTTTTATTTTTCTGCATATATCTCTTTCTTAAATGTATTATTCTTGTTTCATTTGACAAACACAAGGAACACGTTTAAATATCTATGACATAATGGCATTATTTTCACATTTTGTATTTAATATCAAATTAGTTTCTAATTGTTTTTTAATTTGATTACAGGATAATAAATTGAATATATTGACAGAGCTAATGAATAAATTAAATGCCTTAGAATATTCTATAAATTAAAGAATAGTTTGTACAATGTACAATCATTGTATTATTACTGTATAAACATATTGACACTGTTGATACAGAACGTTATAATAGAAATATCATTGTAGGCCATAAAATGCCTGTCTATAGTGTTAACGATGGGACAGCATTTTGCTAGTCTCAGGGAATTTTTTAAGATGGATGGTGATAAACAATCTGCAGAAATATATTCTAATGTATTACAACAACAACAACAACAACAGCAACAACAATCAACATTGGAAATGGTTGACCAAGATGATACAGAAAATTTACCCAATTATGAGAATAATGGGAATGTACCTGTCTTGAATTCAAATGTTATCCCAAATAGGGAGAGTAATAAATCTGAAGGAAATTTGGGAAATCATAATTTGAATTTAGATCTAGATAATCACAATTCTAGATTTGAATCATTATACAGTCAACCGGTGGAAACTCAGGATATAAAACAAGTTCGTGGTAATGGAAATATTAATAATCCTGAGACACCATTCAGACAACAGCAGCAACAACAACAACAACAACAACAACAAGAGGCATGTTGCAGTAGTTCTGGTGGTAGCAACAGTAGTAGTAGTTCAGAAGATAGTCCAAGAACTCCTCCATTAAGAAGATCTTCAAAAACATTATCATTCGGTAGAAGAAAAAGTAAGTCATTTTGAATATTTAACTTGAGATTAGTATTTAAAAAGTTTGAGTATTATCTTTAGTTGATTGATTTGTTACAACTTATCATTTATTTTTGTTTAGGTAAACAACGTAACAAGGATCAAAGTCCACTATGTAATCACATTTTATCTTCAAAAAAGAAAAGAAGTAATTGGGTATTAAAGTTTGCTAAGAGTAAAGTATCCAAAAACACTGATATTATTCCTGGTCAAGGCAACAGTAGTTCAGATTGTGTATGTACTGGTTATAGAAGAACCGAAGAACACCCAATGGGTGAAGGAATTGTATTCAATAGTAGATCTGCACCACAGAGTCCAATTCTTGGTCCTTTACCACCGAGTCCTGTGATTGATTTGTCAAGATTTAATCCAGAGGAATTTCCTATGGAAGTACGTACATTATTATAATATTACTTATACATTCATTGAAATTATATATGAAGAAATATATTAAATATAATTTTCATTTGAAGGATTGCGACGAAAGGGCACGTTTACAACGAGCACGAGAGATGGAAGAAGGCGTTGAACCACCTCCTGGATACAGACCTAATTATTCATCGGGTATACAGGTGCATCCAAATGGTATAACAGTAGATAGTTTGGCCGCGTTGTTTCAAGTACATGCTGGTATTCAAGTTGCTGCCCTTACTGCGTTATCTCAAATAGATTTTACATTAATTCCAAATATTGAAAGACCTGCACATACGCAGGTAATTAACTGATTATTCCTCGTTAAATAAAATCATTATACATTGATATATTAACAATGATTTTGTTGTTGTTTGTAGGTTGATTATGTGCATTGTCTTGTACCAGATTTACGGTCGATAACAGCATGCTCCTTTTATTGGGGTAAAATGGACCGTTATGAAGCCGAACGTTTATTAGAAGGTAAACAAGAAGGAACCTTCTTATTACGTGATTCTGCACAAGAGGAGTTTTTATTCTCCGTAAGCTTTCGAAAATATGGACGATCTCTTCATGCGAGAATTGAACAATGGAATCACAAGTTTAGTTTCGATTCGCATGATCCTGGTGTTTATGCATCTGAAACAGTTAGTTTTTATTAAATACATTTGATTGTCTCTCTCTTATAATTATTATTGAAATGATAGAATGATAATATGTAATATGTTTACAGGTATGTGGTTTAATAGAACATTACAAGGATCCATCGTGCTGTATGTTCTTTGAACCTATGCTGACTATACCATTACATCGTAATTTCGCTTTTCCTTTACAACACTTGTGCAGAGCAGTTATAACTACAAGAACCACGTATGATGGTATAAATAAGCTGCAATTGCCAAAGACCCTTAAAAGTTATCTCAAAGAGTATCATTATAAACAGAGAGTGCGCGTTAGGAGATTAGACACTGAAAATGATTTACAGACAGATACAAGATCCATATCATATTTACCTTTAATATGAGCCTTTATATATAATGTAGAAATAATATTGTTTGCTTTATTAATTTTTTTTTTTTCGTCCTTGCATCATCTCTCTACAGTACTGCAGAAAAAAACCACACAGTCCCTTTTTGTGGTTTCATGCACACAACAACAACATACATAATATCAAAGCTGATAATTTATTTCAAATTTTTTCAAATGTCTCTCTCTTTCTCTCTCTCTCTCTGCAATATTAGCAAGTAATAATGCGCACATATTTAGCAATGTATGCAACAAAGAAAAAAAAAACAATAATTAGTAGATTTGGTTGAAATAATAAACAATTTCTAGAGGAAGTGGGTAGGGGAGGGGCGGCTGGCTGTATAACAACAGCACTTATTTTTCAAGTGACAAATGGTGTTACAATTCATTTGTCAAACTTGATAGTTTAATATGTAAATATTGTCACAACAAAGTGTAGTTGATCATCGAAGTCGAAGATGGTTTTTTTGTTTTCGTCATAAACTTAATTATTAAGAAAATTTGAAAGAAATTGATTGAAAAGTTTGTAAATTATTTGCTATCTTATAAGATTAATATAAAGGTTAAATTCACACATGCATATAACTTGCATATGTATAGAAAAAAAACAAAAAAAATGTAATTGACATTTATGATATCTATAATATTTTATTAGGTTTACCTTATATGATTACATAATTATAATTGTTTCACAATGATTAGAAAAAAAAACAAACAAACATTTCATTTATAGTATAATGCATCACAGACAGTGTAAAATTTCATCTTTACATGGCATTTGTAAAATTATTCTATCAATTAACAATCACAATATTTCTTATTCCTAATGTGCCTACTTACAATGTGAAATATCACAGCACATGGAATCTGTGTGTGTCGTTAAGTATTCATAATTGAATACGTAACAATTTCAATATTGATCAAAATTATTGTGTTGTTTTTTTTATCATTGAAGTGCAATCAGTATATGAAATTTGTTACTTAATTTTTTAAAATGATATGATTATGATATTTAAATGAAATAACAACATTGTTATGTTCGAAAATCACAAGTAAGGTTTATTAAAACCATGTGTATTATTATTATTATGCTTTAAAATTGTTAAATACATTGGTTGATGGTTATTACTTCTCATATATAACTCTATAATAATTTCTTATTAAAAATAAAATTTAATATTTATTAAGTGTACAGATATTGCTTATGTATTTAACACCTTATATATATATTTTTCTAATATATTTATAAAATATATATATATATATATATATATATATATATATATATAATAACAAATTATAATTTATATATATATATTATAGTAAAGAAGTTCTTAAATTAGTAAATTTATTATTTCTTTTTACAGTTTGTTTGTATTATAATATTATTAATAATATATACATATATAAACTCAATAAGGTTTTTGTTTTTTTTTTTTTTTTACATATAAAGAACAGAATAAAAAAATATATAAAAATGTATCTAATAAAATATTACATGCTTCATACTATAAACAATTGAAAATTACAATGTATAATTGTAGATTTATATATATCATATTGAAGAAATCATTATATACATACACACACACACATGTTGTACGTTTAAAACTGAAATTATTTGATAAATCAGCTGTTTTTTTTTTTTTTTTTAATTAGAATAACTGAAACAATTGAATAAAGTTATCTTTTTTATAAAGAATATAGAAAAATAAATAGAAAAGACAATAAAATTATATAATTACAGATATTCTATTTAGAATTCATAATTAAGTTAATAATTGTATAAATGGTAGTAATACATTATAGTTAAAGATAAATACTACAGAGAATAACACTGCAAATAAAACATCTACAATTTATATAGGAATAATAATGAATATTATGAACATTAAACGTTGAACAGATAACACGTTATCATTATATTATTATAATATATATTTTTTTTTTAAAGGATACGAATAAACATTCTTTCCCATGGTTCAACCATATATAATTCTGTAACCAACATGTATCGAAAATACCAATATTTTATAAAAGATACTATTATTTGTACTGGATTTTTCATGATTAAACTTGTTCAAGAAATAGAAGCAGGAAATATTACTAAAAAAAAAAAACTGTCTTTTATATTTTGCAATAATCGTGTTTGTGGTTCAATTATCAGATTTGATAAAACATTAACACTTCTTTACCGATTTTACCGACCATAGAAAAACTAATTGATATATTTGATGATTCAGAAAGAATTCAATAATATAATTTTATGTACACCACCTTGTATATACTAAAAAATTTACTTCATCATAATTATTTATTATTATTATTGTTTAATTGAGAATAATTTTAGATAAAAAATAGATGATATCAAATTGTGATTAAATTACAAACTTTTGAATAGATTATTTTTCAAGTACTTTTATTGGTTTGTCCAATTACAATTAAATGAAGAAACTTAAACAATTTACAAATTGTTAATTAAAATAATCCAACATATTATATATATCTTTTAATTTTTATTTCTAAAAATTCAAAAAAAGATATTTTCATTAAGTAAAAAGATAAATTTGTATAAAATTCATGTTAAAATTTAAAGTAGTTATCCATTCTAGATACAATATGACTAGTGATTGTATTGACCACATAGGTGGCAGCACATGTCAGTCGAAATACATATGGCTACCTTCGCGCATCGTATGTTGTGATATATCTCTCTGTTTATTAAGTATTATAGGACAATTGAAAAATTAACAATCATATTAAACTAAGGTTATATTAAATCTAAGAAAATTCAAATTGGAATTTTCGAGGTTAGTCATATTAATTAGTTCATTTTTCATTCGAGATAGAAATAATCGAGAGAAATATTATCGAAAGTGATTGTTTTAATCGATAAACTCGTGTGTCAAAAATCTTGAAACAAAAATTCATGTTAAAAGTTTAAAGTAATTATCCATTCTAAATACAATATGACTAGTGATTGTATTGACCATAGGTGGCAGCACGTGTCAGTCGAAATACATATGGCTACCTTCGCGCATCGTATGTTGTGATTATATCTCTCTGTTTATTAAATGTTATAGGACAATTGAAAAATTAACAATCATATTAAACTAAGGTTATATTAAATCTAAGAAAAATCAAATTGGAATTTTCGAGGTTAGTCATATCAATTTTAGTTCATTTTTCATTCGAGATAGAGAAATAATCGAGAGAAATATTATCGAAAGCGATTGGTTTAATCGATAAACTCGTGTGTCAAAAATCTTGAAGCATTACGCGCAGGTTCTCTCTTTATCGTTTTACGATTTCTTCTTCTTGCAGTGATAAGTTGCATCAAGATGTCTGCATCTGTGACAGCTAAATTACAAGATGATATGAATAGTATACCATTGGCAGATGATGATCCTCAAGGTAAGATAATTTTGCATATCTGCATGACACATATATGACACTGATAATGCATGATCTCACTTCTTGTCATATTTTATGAATCATAAAAATAAATAGTACATTATTTAAATTTAGTTGCTTTTTTTTTTTTTTTTGCTTTTATTTTTATATTTCTTTCAATTAGTAATATGCATTATCCTTTTGTCATTAAATACAGTGATTATCCCTGAAGAAGAGGTATTGGATAATGCATCTCATTTATCTGACGCATTAGGCAGAGGACGTAGCATGGATTCTATTCCATCCACTTTTACTAATGGTAGCTGTAGTCCCAATAGTAAGTTCATTATCAAAATGATATATATAGTTTAAATAATAGTAATGAATTTTTTATCAACGGTCTCATTTGTTTGACCGATAGGTTTAGATCCTGATATTAGTCCAGATGAACAGGAAGAGAAAGCGCGGTTAATAGCACAAGTCTTGGAACTTCAAAATACATTAGATGGTAAGTTTAAATTATTGATTAACAAATGTTTTTTTAATTGTTATAATATGTATTAATTAACATTATCTTTTTTTAGATTTGTCACAGAGGGTAGACAGCGTGAAAGAAGAAAATTTGAAACTACGTAGTGAGAATCAAGTATTAAGTCAATACATAGAAAATCTAATGTCAGCTTCAAGTGTATTCCAATCAACTTGTCCCAATACTAAAAAGAAATGAATTCCCTGTGAGATTTATTGCAAACAAGATTTCAAACATACAGGGATTAATATTGATAGTTGTGATTTTGATTTCTTATAAAAAGTATGTATGCACATATTAGTAGCTGCCTTATTTTCAAATAAGAACCATATAGTATGTAATTATAAATTTAAAGGTACATGATATGTGGTATTCATTAAAAAAAAAAAAAAAAAAAAAAAAAAAAAAAGAAAGAAAAAGAATTTATCTTTATCTAAAACAAAATAATACATACTTTCTATAAGATTAAAAATATGTTTGCTTCTTAAAAATCGATTATATTCTTTTTTCAAAAAAAACAAAAAAAAAAAAGAAAAAAAAAAATTCACGCATTAAGCACTTGTTATCCCTTTTGTAACTTTTTTTCAAGGGATATATTTTAATATAGCATTCACCATTTGGATTGCTTTTTAAATAATGCCAGGGGGCTTTTTTAATAGTTAGGAATTTATTAACATTTTTACATTGATCATCGATTACCAAAGAATGTATAATTAAATTTGTTTTTGTTTTTTTTGTTTGTTCTTTTCTATAATTATTTATAAGATAATGTGAAAAAATAATATAAGCTTTATTTAATTATTGTTAAACAATGTTATATTATTAAGGAGCGTTTTTTCTATATATTTGATCAGAGCATTTTTTTTTCTTTTTTTTTTGTCAAATTTCAATTTTTTTCTATTAATAAGAAAACTTGATTTAATACAACAAGTCGTTTGATACTTTAAGCTTTTGCTTAAGAATTCTAATTAACATATGTATGCAATGTATGTAGAATGTACAAAGAAAAGATAAAATCAATTATATAAAATATTATTATATAATATACAATATACACAGATGTGTGTACTCTCTCATGTGTACACATTATACACACAACTCTAATTACACATATTGTACTTAAATACAATACAATACAATACAATACAATACATACATACAGATACTACGATCAGAATTATCGAATAAGTAAAAGGAAATCGATGTTTATGACATTTCTCTGCTATAAGCAGAAATATATTTCGATCGTATTTTCACGAATATTTTGAAATCTGTTGCATTCCCATGTTGATTGTACGCAGCAGAAAACAATTTATTATTAATGTTAATAATCAGAGCGTATCGCAAAAAATTTACAACTGCGACTTTTGTGAGAAAGTTTCAGTTTGAGGGCACAAGCAAAATGCACAATCTCAAAACTATTCCATTGTTGAGTAAAAAAAAAACACAGTGTTTATAATAAACAATTATATTCTATTGGATTACGCAAAGGCGTACAATTTTTCTTATTTCAGCTCATCTTTTTCTTTTTTTCTTTTTTTCTTAATCTTTGTTTGAAACATTTCTTTTGCGTATTTTTAAATTAAAAGCGTACAAAAAGAAACATCATGATTTTTTTGATAATTTCGTTAATCTTGTCTTATTGCTAAAAATTGTATAGCCTTTTGACCCCAAACCGTTCTTGGTCCAGATTTTGCACGTCCATTTTTCTTTATACCAATCCACCAACCTGGATGTACGTATTTACGTGAACGAAATGCATCGTAAGATCCAACAGACCATTGTTCCCATTCTGTATTGTCCTTGTTCATATTTGACTGCAAGCAGAGGCGTTTATGATGATAATGATGATAATGATGATGATGATGAAAGCATTTTAACAAGACATTACTTAAGAACAAAAGAAACAAATGTAATCCAATTGTCTATGAATTTTATATCTTATTATGTTCATTCAAATGAATTAAATTAATTAATGATTACAAGTAGATAACATAATTAATTAATAATTAGAATTTGGAATTATTTTGAGAAAGATGTTTAATAGAAAAATAATTATTGTGAATTAAATTAATTAATGATTACAAATAGATAACATAATTAATTAATAATTAGAATTTGGAATTATTTTGAGAAAGATGTTTAATAGAAAAATAATTTATAATATTGAGGAATTGTTTAATATATTTTCAAAAAGTTTAATAGACATTGGATTGATATTAGAGTACTGTTTCAATATTATATATATATATATATAAAAAAAAAAGATTCTTTTATCTTACCTCTCCATACAAGTAGCCCTTTTTATTAAATGCAAGATATAATTTGGTTTCAACACCTTGTATTCGTACAATTCCAAATGATACTGGTGTTACGTGTAAAAGAGCTAAAGATAATTGACAAAATTACAAAGACAATATTTACAATGATTTTATTTAATGTTAATGTTAATGTTAATGTTAATGTTAATGTTAATGTAACAATAATTATAATAATGATGTGTATGTTAAGAAAAAAAAAAAAAATTCAAACAAAATTTATAAAAAAATGTTTAATAATTTTTTTCTTTTTTTTTTTTTAACTTAAATCACTCGGTTATAATTATTGATACATTTTTCAAGTGTATTAGTAAAATATCAAATGATTTACAGAAATATTTTACAGAAACATTTACAGATACATTTAGAGAAAATAATTTATTATTTATTTATATAAATTTTATAAGAAAGTAAAAGTTTAGTAAAAGTATCAAATGATTTACAGAAATATTTTACAGAAACATTTAAAGAAAATAATTTCTAATTAATTTATATCAATTTAAAGAAAGTAAAAATTAATAAAAAAAAATTAAATAACAAAATATTGTAATAAAATTCTAATAAAATTAGAATTTTTATGAGATGTTTGTTTGAAGATGTCAAATGAATGTATGAATCTGTAAATTTGTGATATTATTGATTTTACTAATACTGTATTAATATAAATGATGTTTAATTTTCTGTCAAAATATATTATACCATATTTTTCATTAGTTCCTGACAAGCCTAGAATTTTGCCAGTAGACATTATAGCAAGATGATAACCAGTACGACAGTAAAGTTTGATTACGAGAGAATTATAAATTGGATTTTCCGCTGGTTGCCGTGGATCCCATATTACGTAGGGTGAAATGGTGTAAGTAATATCAGAAGTCTCGTATCTTGATTGACTGTAAAAAAAAGGAATTCAAATTAATTGCTGCACACAATAATTATTATTTAAATTAATCTAATAATAAATAATAAATAATAAATAACAACAATCACACAATGTATATAATTAGACAAATTTTTCATTTGATATTTTATATTTTTTATAATATTATTTCTATGAAATATATACTTAATATTTAATTTTATTTTTTAATTTGTTTAAAATAAAAAAAAAAAACAAAAATATGTTATAGTGATTAATTTTTAATACGTACGAGGATTATAATAATTTAATTAAAAATATAATTTGTGTGTAAGATAAGTGTGTGATGGTTCACAAATTAGTTTTACTAAATATATTTAATATATAATATAATATTAATAATTAATATTATATTGGAATATTAATAATTATATTATTAATATAATTTGTGTGTAAGATAAGTGTGTGATGG